ACTTTTCTCTCTTACCACACTGACAGCAGATGTTGGTGTAAAGATACAAACCCAGGCTGGGTGATGCTGGAGCCCAGACTTCCAGCCACCATGCTACACTCATCCTAAAACATGGTTTGAGAGTTTTCTCATCAAGTAACATCAAGTAACAGTAACATCGAGGTAACTTGTTTGAGTATCCCCACAGTCCCCAGATGATATAAAGTCACTTTATCTTTTTAAGCTCAGTTGCCTCATCTATAAAATGGGAGATAATCATAGTGATTGTTGTATAGAATAAATGAGATAATATGTTAAATATTTTGCACAGGGCCTAGGAGTAGTAAATACTGAATAAAACTTAGCTGTTGATATTATTACTATACAGCTATTGTTGATCTTGGTTTGAGAGTTGTCTCATCAAGCATATAACAGTAACATCGAGGTAACCTGTTCGAGTACCCCCAAGGTCTCCAGATTATATAGTCACCCTTTTCTATAAAATGTAATTTGAAAGGGTTTGAGCCCCCTCCCACATTCAACTAGCATGCCGCCCACCCTCCTGTATATCCAGAGGTTACTGATGGCTTGGTTGCTCTGTGACTTCCAGTCTAACTTCCTGCTGCCACCAAATCTTCTGTTTCCAGGTTGCTTCTTGCCATCTTCCTGCTGTGCTCTTTCCCCATCAGGGCTTGGCATCTACACCTGACCATGTAAGGTAGGTAATGCGAGGTACTCAGTATACGACCTCTTTCTTATGGTCAAGCGCTACACCAGCCTGATTCCCTGTATAAGGGCCTCAAGCAGGAGGCTGCTCCACCAAATCAATAAATATACTCCCTGACGGAGGAGTCTGCAACTCAAGAACTGGCCTACATCCTCCTTGGAGACCCAGATTCGCAGTGTAATCGTGCCAAACCGTTAACCATGGACACTCTGTGAGCAAGGGCAGTCCCTGGGCACCACTGCATCTCATCCCAAAAGGCATCTCAAGAGGAGAGTTTGCAGAGTCTCATGTAAATGATCATTACACCGCTATTAAATATGGTCAGTGGCTTCCTTAGAAAGAGGATGAACCACATCAGGTGACTTCAGACAAGGAACTACCTGAAAGGAAGAACTGCTGTATTTCCTCAACTGAAGGCATTAACAGAAGCCAGCAGAATGAATCTATCACTCCCTCTCTCTCCCACATACATGCACATGCACACTTATGCATACATGCACACAGTGGCTAGGACCCAGCATCAGAACACCAAAGCCCTCACTGCCTGTGTAGCAAGCAGCTAGTGGCCATTTACTAAGCAGGAAGGGCAGGGTCAAGCTGCTCAGTTTCCTGTTGAAATCTGCCTCAGGCATTCCCACTAACTGATAATGATACACTCAGTTCACCAGCAGGAGCAGAAACCAAATGCAGAGAAACTGCACCAGCTGCCTTTTTGTCTGCAGCATTGTTTAAACAATTTAAACGGTACCTACTTCCAAGACAGATCTGAAGTGAGAATTTGGTCCTTTCAAATACCCAAAACATGAACTGCATAAACCACTGCCTAACACTGAACAGCATGCCTTGATTCTTAGTGAATCTATGCTCCAGTTCTTATCCGACGAAAAGGTAACAACGATATCCCTGTTCTCCACATTCCATTTTACTTTCACATCTGGACTCGCTGCAAACAACTGAATCTGACTTTATAGAAAATACACATATGCCACTTCCTTTGCGGAAATGTCTTCAAATTCTCTGATGATTGTAGTTACTTGGAAATTATTTCCTACTGCACCAATGTACATGAACAAAAATAAACATCACATAAAATAAAATAAACCCAAATATTAATGAGGTTCATAGAACCACTGCTGAACAAAATTATCAGTACTACTTTGTAAAAACAAAAATGTTTACAAATTACACAAAGGTACTTTAAAAAGTTCGTGGAAAAACAGAAATAAAAAATACATATCTTCCCATCAATACTTTGAAGACTCCTCACATTTAGGAACCCCTAGCAATATGACGTGAAGAAAAAGATGAATTTGTAAATAGGTTGTTCATCAATCTGGCACTTCTGTAGACTATCTGTGGATGTTTAGAATTATCCTCTCTTCTAAAATGCAAACAGTATCAGCAAGCAAAATAATTTTGGTTTATAAGATTCAATTTCGATCATCTAACAAAAGAATTTACTCCATCCGGGAAGTTATAGCCAGTCCGGACAGCTAAAAAGGATCTGAAATAGAAAGCAAATTTTTCTAATTTAAATACTTCCCCTTTCTTCTGCTAAACAATCTCTTTAGGCTTGATGGACAAATGTTTCTGCATTTTTCTAAACCCAAACTCAGTACTTCAACAGCTGACAGAGAAATTCATTCATCCAGCAGAGTCAGCTGTCACAGAAAATGTTTTCCAATAGTGCAAAGATTACATAATACCAACACAAGAACTAAGGAATAAGGCTTCCAAGAACCTCATTTTCTTGCCAGGTGACCGGACAAAGGAAGATTCAAGCAAGCCTTTGGGGAGCTATTTATCTCAACAAATATTTACTGACCATCTTTCCTGAGACTTGCACTGTGCAGGAGATGAGGATACATGGACGAATAGAATAACAAAGAAATGATTTGTTCTTACTGAAGCATGAAGTTCTAAGCCAACTCTAAAATCAAATTTCATTTACTAATCTCCAGAAAATCACCAAATATGGAAAATTTGAAGTCAATAAAAATGAGGAAAGAACAACTTCCTATAAAAGTGGGCTAGTTCCCTAGTTGGGAAAAAAATGTTATTAAAGCTCTAATACAAGGTAACATTTAGTAAATGAGTATCTAGCCTTTCTTGAGCCCAAACAGATTAATCCCACATCAATTTTAGATTATAGTTTAAGAAAATACTAAGTTAGTATGGTTAGAAAGCACTAAAAGCACATATTAACAGATAAATCTACTTGTAGAGCAAACAGAAGACACTTTTGTTTTAAAAAAATCATCTAATAAAAGTTCAAATATTAGAGAAAATAAGCTATTAGTGACCAGACTTGAATATATTACCTTAAATTACAATTGAGAAGTAAAAAGAGGGCAATTAGCATGAACAATGTATTTTTTTTTTCTGGATTGAAAACTGCAGGAAAGTCAAAAGTAGACCAAGGAAAAACAGGCCCCAAATTTTAAGCTGGTCAAACCTGGAGAAACATCAGTCTGCTGGTAAATCTGCTAATGATCCAACAGTTCAGACACAGAAACAAAAGGAGCTTTAAAGTGTCTACACACATATCATTAGAAAAGACTATGTAGCAGATGCTTTATCACATTTATGTCTCAGGAAAGACCGCATGGCCCAGAGATAAGGGATCGTTTCTGTGTTAATTCAAGTCAAAGTGGTTGCCATTAAAATAACCACAACTGTAATAAAGAAAGCTTTTTTGATGATACATGCAGAAGATGAGAAGAGTAAGCGGAAAATGAATACATAATTACAATGTGTCACCCTGCTGACATGGACTACACCAACAAGTATAATAATTCTGCTAAGATTATATACCAATAATAATCCAATGTGGGACTGATAATACACAGTTCCATTAGCACTAACTTAAGATTATTTTAGAAAATAACTGAAAACGATTTCTCAGATTGAGCCATAAACAGGAAACCAGCAAATTCTTACTATTCATTTTTCAATTTGGTAGAACTTACTAAAATAACCTTTTCTCTTAAAAGGCACATCCTAAAAACCCCTCACAGAAAAAAATGTTTAAGAGTCTGTAATCCCCAGTGACATTCAAAATACTTAATAACCAAAAGGTACACACATATCAATCAGAACAGATGCACCAACTAATCAGAAAAATTCACCAACTAATGACAATAAATGCGGGGTTTTAAAAAAAAAAAAAACACAATAAACTAAATAACCCTACAGTAACCTTGCTACTAGCTGGGTATCAGACCAGCATGTAACTCTGCCAGAATACAGAAAATAAAGAAACTAAATAAAGGTATTTATGTCTTGATAAGTATTTCTATAAAACAGTAAATTAAGGATCTTGGGGTTTGGTAAGAAACAGAAGGCAGTGCCTTCAAATGTTGGCTACAGCACCAAGAAATATCCCCAAATGGTAGATCATTAGAATGCACTCAGTAAGAAGAGCTAGTATCAGAGATCACAAGCTACTCTCGGCCAGATGAATTATAAAAATAAATGTTACTTTCAATTTTCATACCTCTTTATATTGTGTTTTCTAAGAAGCCATGGACTGAGTTGAAAGACCTAAGTTTTCCTCTGGCCCCATCTTCTATTAATTGGAATCTTGGACCATAGATGAAACATTTAATGATTCTTCACAACAACCCATAAAAGAAGGGATTGTTGTTCTTAGTTTACAAATAAGCTGTGGCTTGAGGACTTAAACTTAACCAGCATTACAAGACTAGTAAGTAACAGGACTAAAATTCAGATTTGGAGGACTCTACTCCAGAAGATCCCATAACTTCTCCAGGCGACTCAAGATGGGACTGTAAGCTTATTTCATCACAATTTTCAGTTTCAAATAAAATCACACATGTGAAAAGGCATCATAAAGTTATAATGGTTGTATATTTACCCAGAAGATAAGAATTTGTCAATATAAGGCCATTACTGAAGAAACTTAACACCATGCTTCCGTAACTTGCACTTTTTATTTTGCATTCCTTTTACTTTAGCAGTCATTCCACATAATGTTCATCAAGTGATAAGAATGGATCAGAGGAAGCCACATTTGCTCCCCAAATGTGCTAACTGAGAAACAACCCCCTTCTCCCTTACCCCCCTAAGCCACCTCACAGAAAGACTTTACAGACAGAGATTATACCCATTGTCAAAGGCCAGAAAGGAGGTGAGGTCAACGGGACTGTGAAATGAATATTTAAAATGTTTATAGTCTCAAACAGAAGAACACAAAAGAAGAAAGACATGCCTAAAAAGTATCAAGAATCCTTATTTCATTGCTGGTTTTACCGGTAGAGGCATTCCCCATTACCTTCAGGCCCGACCAGACTCCAAACCAGACCTTGGGTACAGAGGCAAACAGTGGCTGCAAGGTCTTTGATCTCAGGCCGCCTTTTCTAAGCTGGCCTACTTTAAAAGGATGAGCCAGAACACTGTACGTTCTTTGTGATATTCCCTAACCACACCAGCCGACAGCCCTGCCCATAGATAAATTCCTATATCTGACAGTGACTGTACCATTCCAACTAGGAATCTGAACTCAACAACTTATACAATCTGACAAGAGGAAATTTATGAAATTAGGACTGATTGGGGAAAAAAATCAAACACATCCAATTGTCACTGGACAGTCCTTAACACCTACAATTGGTTTTCAATTATTTTCATACTGACCATTTTTTTTTTTTTTTTTTTTTTTTTTTTTTTTTTTGTTTTTTTTT